CCCTGACCGTATGTGAATTAGCGGGACTTTCAGCCCCGCTAATACCCAACGGATCAGGATATTATTATTACAAATATTTGAAATAATCCATATATCTATTATTAATTTCTTATTAGTGCTAATTTATGATTTTTATAACTTGATTTTCTGAAATTTATATACAAAATATTGATTTAATTTTTAGACTTATTTGAATAAAAGTTATATGGTGCTCTACTTGTACTTGTACTGTATATAGTCATTTACTTTTATAATCACCTTCTATATAATTATACCCTCTTTATAATATTATTTTTTAAAAAAATTATTTGCAATATATTTATTAAATAAAATTACAGTCAAACCTTTCTATAATCACACACTTGGGATACAAAATAATATGATTGTAAAGAATTGTGACAATTATTAAGGTCAAATTCATTATATATAATAATAGAACATTTTTAAAAAAAATGAGTTTATAAAGGGAGGTAGCATTTAGGGGGGGTCTGACTGTATATCAGCTACAGTTAAATAGGCCTTTAGAACCATAGCTCCAAATTTAGCCACAGTTATTGAAGGCACAACATGTTTTATGATTAGAGTATGAATGAACTGTGGCTTAAGCTATGACAGGCAATAATAAAATTTTAAATCATATTAATAATTAAGCTTCAATCTTTAATTTATATATTTAAGAGAAATCTAAATTATTTTTTTGTAATTGAATTGTTCTAATTGACTAAAATTAATTATCTGCATTTGTGTTATAAATCTTCAAGATTATAGCAAAGATTGCTTTAATTAATTATAGTACCTATACGCTATTTTGGTAGCTAGCTAATCATATTGAGAGCACTCTTAGTTTCAAAAGTTTAGCAATTATTTGTTAGTCTAATTAGTCTAAGTATTTAATATGTGCTGTTTGTGTCTTATTTATCTTCTTATCCACATTATATCATTTGCCAAGAACATTTTTAAATTATACAGATTAATACAATTAGATCTGTACATACTCTTATTTATAATATTAGTTCTGCATGTATTATTAGAGTTAGCATTAGAAAATTATATTAACTGGTATAAGTATTTTATACTCTATGATATATATATTTTAAATCTTATAAAAGTTCTTGTTTGTTTAAATTATAGTATCTTATATCAATATAATCATGCTGTATTTAGTACATCGTTAAGGCCAAAGTTATCATTCTGCGGAGATCAATGGGCCCTGAATGTTCGGTCCCTGTGAGTTAGCACACTTCGTTGCTGCGTACGTCACCTGCGGTGTTCCCCAGCCCTCCGTGCCACGTGGTGGTAAGTCTATCACCTTAGTGATTTCCCGGGTCCCTGGTCCCGCTAATCAATATATTTGAAATAAGTCAATCAAGTTTATGAATTATTGTCAATTTTATTTCATTTACGTTAGCAATGAGAGCAACCGATTCATCATTATTTTCAATTTAGTAGGAAAGCAAAAAAAAAAAAAAAAAACAATTATGAACTGAAATATTTGAAATAAACCGTTCGGTTCGTGAATAATTTCCAACAATCAATGCATTTCATTTTATTTATTCAATTAACACATAAGTATGAAATCACTAATTTATCAGCACCACTTAAATTATTAACGTTAATTATTAAAAGTGGCAAAACAACCCACATGATCGTAATTACATTTTATAAAAATCATGAATAAAATAAAATTAAATTAGTTGCACTATGTAATTATATTATGAATTGATAATATATGACTACAATAACTACAATAAGTATTAACGTTGTCAAGCCAGTAATAGATTATTAAAAAAAATGAATCAAGTTCGAAAAGTAATGGTGTTCCTGAAAATGACACCATCTAATACTCCATACTGACATTTCACATCGACATTTTTTTTCTTAACGATTAGTTCGAATTTAGTATTATGTTCACCGAATGTACCGTTCTAGAAAAAAATATTTTTTTTTTTTGTTTAATTTAAAGGATAAGCAGTTTATTTTGGAATTTATAACGGGCGAATGATTTACCTTCTGATGAGGTTCTTTAACGGTCACGGCTTTAGAAAAGCACCTAAACTTTTTTGTAACCGGCTCTATTTATTAAAAATACTTAGAGAAATTATTGAATTAATGACATTAAATAGGAAAACGATATTACCATCATCATTTATATTTACTCCTTTCCATTTAACATGTACAATCAATTTATCGTCACCAACTTTCTCGATTTTCAGCGGAATAGAATAGATTAGATTGTAAAGTACTTCTTCTTGAGAAAATGTAGTAATAAAGAAAAGGGTTAAGAATATAAAAGTAAACAGAAGTAGACGATTCATGTTTGTTAAATTTTATAAGCTTAATAAAAAACTCTTTTAAGATTAGATTTTGTGTTTTAAAAACCTTTTTTTTTTTTTAAAAGGATGATAAAAGTTTTGAGCTTTTATAAAAAAAAATTTTTGTGAGATGACTAAATAAGAAAATTTTATTAATGAAAATTTTATTAATGTAAATTTTTTCTAAATTAAAGTTTGCATCTCAAGAGACGAAGAAGAAATCGATT